GCTGAGCAGGCGCTACTTGATAGCATTGTTAATCACACCTTCCAGCACTTTACTGATGATCAAGAGTAGACTGATGGGGCAGTATTGGCTGTGTTGGATTTGTCCTGCTTTTTGTGTACAGGACATACATGGGCAATTTTCCACATTGTCAGGTAGATGCCAATGTTGTAACTGTAAGGGAAGAGCTTGGCTAGGGGAGCAGCAGGTTTAGGAACACAAGTCTACGGTACTATTGCTGGAATGTTGTCAGGGCTCATAGACTTTGCACTATCCAGTGCCTCCAACTGTTTCTTGACACCACAATGAGTGAATCGAATTGCCTGAAGATTGGCATCTGTGATGTTGGGAGACAGAAATAGATCAACACATGGCACTACTGCCTGAAGATTGCTGTAAGTGTTTCAGCCTTATCTTTTGCATTGATGTGTTGGGCTCTTCCATAATTGAGGATGGGGATATTTGTGGAGTCTTCTCCCCCAGTGAGTTGTTTAATTGCCCACCCCCATCCATGCACAGATGTGGCAGGACTGCACAGCTTACATCCAATGACTTGATTGTGGGATTGTTTGGCTCTATAATGTGCTGCTTATACTGTTTGACATGCAAATAGTCCTATTTGGTAGCTTCACCAGATTGACATCTCATTTTTAGATATGGATTAATACTTTGAGTCCGGTGACTCTTCGTCAGAACAGAGACATTGGACTCAAAAATTTAACTCTGCTTTCTACTTACAGATGTTGCTAAACCCACTGAGTCTCTCCAGCAATTTCTGTTTTTGTTTCAGATCTCCAGCATCCGCAGTTCTTTGTTTCATTTTTAGGTATGCCTGTGCTGCTCCTGTCATGCCCTCCTGCACTCTCCATTGAACTAGGGTTAATCCCCTGGTGAGATGTTAATGTTTGAGTGGGGGATATTCTAGGCCATGAGGTTGCAGATTGTGCTGGAGTACATTTCTGCTGCTGTTGATGGCCGACAGTACCTCATTGATTACCCACTCTTGAGTTGCTAGATCTGTTTGAAGTCTGTCCCACACAACACAATGGACGTTATTCTCAATGAGACGGCAGGACTTCATTTCCACAAGGACTGTGCGGTGGTCACTCTTACCATTACTGTCCTGGACGGGCACGAGGTGGGCGGCACTGCCAATCAGCCAGAGGCCGCTCGATCCCCAACTCACTGACCCCTCTGCGCCCCTGCCTTACCCGGAAACGACCTCGCTCACTTCTCTCCCTAC